GACGGGACATCAGCTCCCCTCTTTATGTCGGGATTGGGGCAACGGCGATACCCGACACTCAAATAGGGCGCCAGGGACACTCGTTCAACCTCGATAAGAAACTTGTCGAATGTCTTCCGCCAAGCTGAGCTAGTTTCCGGATGCAGCTTAGAACAGAATTCTCCCGCAATAAATGTGTCTACTCGTGCTACTTATGGATGGCGTGAGATTGCAACGAGGAAATGGCTTGTTAGCTGGGTATACCGGGACGACTGCGGAGACACTGGTGAGCCACGGTTACCACCTCCCCGCAAAATACTGAGATTCCCACCAGAAATTCTATCACGCAATGAGCTGAGGTCTGCAGAACACCCAACCAGAACAAAATACAGCTTTGTGCCAACTCGGGACGTGAATGGTCGTCATACTCCCATGTAGCTGGTCCCTAGCTCGCTATTCATATTCTAATCACCACACTGGTCAAGCTCTTTCATTACTCGACTAATATGGAGCCCGAAATGTACGATAGATCTTACTACCTAGGCCGGGCATCTTCGACCAGGAAGGTCAGTTCACTGCATATGGCGCGGCAAGTTGATGTTTCTTTTTCTACCAGCTGCCAAGTTGCATTTCTTGACGTAGACCAGTTATTTGCGAGCCACAACTCAAGATCCGAGGGTTTCGGAGTCTACGCAGATGACTTCATGGCGCCAAGGATATAGGGATCCCATAACCGACAGGAGCCGAGGGCGTGGTGAGGAATATCATCCCCGTGGTCAGATTCGACGGCTAGTGGCAAGTATCTGCATGGTCCACAGATTACGGCTATGACACTGTGTCGCGAGCTCATAGTGCAAGTAGTCTGCATCCACTTACTATGAGGGGCAGACAGCAAATGTTCTTTCTTGTCAGACTTTTCGCAATGGAACGAGAGTAGGTTCTTATCACTTTACGCTTGTCAGGGACCTGGATCGTTGACTTGAACCTGTTATGCATGCCAACGCGAGGGCTGTTAGGCCCTCATTCAAAGTTGAGAACTTGTCGACCCTTCAGATAGGAAATTCATTGCGACAGATAGCGCCCAGTCTCAGCTCTCATGTGGTCTTAGTCAGTATTTAACAAGAACGGATCGCTCCAGATACCCGCACTGCTATGGACAGATCACTGGAATTTACTGGTCCAGGTCCTGGAGCTCAAACCATCGTCGCGCCTTCGGTCATATCTTGGGTATCATCCACCAACACCTATGAACCATCTTTCAACTGGAGAAATCCGGTCTCTCCGTCCACTAGTGCAATTTTGGCTTTTCCGCTTCTTTCTCTGTCGGGAGGCACCGGGAACGGCCGGTTTGATTCGGGAGATACGTACGACGCCAACAAAAGTACAGGGCCACGTCTAGACTGGGACGAGATGCTGTTAGTTCAGCAATGCCTACGGCACTTCTATCATGTGGTACCGCTCCCGTCGGTATTCCCCTTTTGTTTCGGCAATGACTATGAAGAAATGGCGCCGAAGCGACCTGGTTATGGGCATCTGGAAGTCTGACATTATGACGCCGAACAATTCAAGCACTCATAAAGGCACCATGGTCAACGTTTGATCTAATGCAATCGGCCGCCGGATTGCTCGCGTAGTATTGTTTTGGACATATTATAGGCGTATTGGCTGACTGTTATTTTTGATGTATCCAGTTCTCGGTCTCTTTTTGACATTTTACACTGCTGAGGATTGGCGGAGGACTCTGTGGATCCACGATCTAAACAAGTGCGCACCATCACCTCATTATCCCCCAGCCTTGGTTTGCAGTGGTACCATTTGCATTTCTTCCAGCACATTACGCACCCTAAATATGGTTGAGTTATTCCACTCATCAAGACAAATTGGAAGGCTGGCAAACATTTAACTCGAGAAGACAGTACCACAGCATCCGCAGCATGTGGTTGCCTTGCCGTGATCTGTTATATATCCATGTGTGTGCTTCTGAGCTTCGCATGATGCGACATCTGAGGGATTGTTTTGATAAGGCAAGCAATTCGGTGGCAAAGCAGTATGCCAGGTAAGCTTTGATGAGTCTGGATAGGGGACACCGCGCTTCTCAGTGTTGTAATTGGAACGGGTAAAAAATCCTCGGCCTTGCGCCGTGCTAACGTTCAATAGTCTGGGCCTGAGAGCCTGCCAGTGACACACATGATACACCCCAAAGGAATTCGTATTCATTTGTTCATCGACCCTCGTGCCGCGTGAAAAAAAAAACCAGGGCTTGCGACAGGGAGTGGAAACTTAATTATCAGGCGTTTGCAGAACCCCGGAACCAGATTAGTTTCAGGGAAAGTTCAATTTCTGCACTGCTTGACCGGGACCACTTGCCCGTCAACAAAATTTCGCCACGCCTGCGCATCTCAAAAAATCCGCGGAGGACCACAAACGCATGCTAGGGTGCTCAACCTCGTGTCTTTTACCGCTGATTTGAACTTTCTACCCTTCTATCTAGATGAGAACGACTTTTCTTTTCAGAATTTGATCTGAAGATGTGGCTTTTCCTGGCCGTGTTTCCTGACTCAAAGCACTCGACTCGCTCTGCTAAATGCTCCCACCCTGCTTATCGTCAGCCTCAAACACCTGGCTTTAGACCTGTAGGCTGGCGTGGGTCCACTTTCTCATAAACTGCGCTGTCCCTCGTTGGATGTAGACCCGTGGTCGTTCCAACAAGTCGTCCATGTTCACGACCTCAAACATGCCACCAGCTCGCTTTATATGGTGCCCAGCTTGTACCCGACTGCCCCAGCAGGTGAGCGTAGACCCCGTATCGAAGGACACAATGCTTGCAGCCCTTTCTGCGCAATTGTCGAGGGATCCTCGGTTCTCGAGAACCGACGTCTTTAACAGTTTAACTTATATTCTGGAATTGATTGTTTACTAGGAGCGTGGACCGAAACACTGGGTCGAAGGACAATAACACACACAGTCTGTTCCGTGTAATCCTCGAGGGGTCCCCAGATTTCGTAGAGAACAAACGTCTTTCATTCACGCCTGGGATTGGACCTAGGAGCATGTTACTCGAGGCGGGACTAACTGGCTTGATTCTAAGGTTGTGACTCTGACTCAGAGACAACACGCCGGTGACGCATGGGCCCCTCGTGCTCACGCATGACAAAAGGAAAATTGTTCTAGCTATGGGCTTCAACACACCAGGTCAATCAAGTGCTGACGAAGCTATCTCGCCGCATGCTGGATGCTGGACCCCGCGATCAGGAACAAAGCTAGTGTACGTGTACTCAAGCCTATCAAGTTTAACAGCCATGTTGCTAGCAACCGTGGACTGTGAAGTCTTCATGCCCGTGTAGATCGCACATGAACAACCCCGTCCAACCTTTACCAGAAACCTGTCGAATGTCTTCCACTGGTTTCCTGATGCAACGTAGAACAGGTTTCGCCCATGACAAACATTTCTACGTTATGAATGGCGTGATATTATAACAAGGAAACGGCTTGTCAGCTTGGAGTGAACAGCAATAGGTGTGCCAATGCTACCACCTGGCACCCTAACGATGCGAACTGGAGCTACTTCGTCATGCAATGGCACAACAAAGCAGTTCCACTGGAGACGTTTGACTAAGTATAGCATTCGTCCTGAGCGCATGTTCCTCATTACTCACATGAGTGAAGGCTAGTGAAGGTCTCCAGAAAGCCTAGCTAGATACAACCGGGCTCGGCCATAGCGGCACACGCTTATGCAACTTGTCCACAGATTGACGTTCGCTCTTCATACCCTCATCGCAAACATCGGTGAGTTTTTCGGATAGAACGATGGTTCAAAGAGTAGTAACGTTAACTCGACCCAAACCATGGAATGGCAAAAGCATTCCGATATTCATGTCCACGTACATTCAATAACATCACAGAGAATGTGATTATGAATGGATGTGATGTGTCTGATTGGGAGACCACTGGCAGGCCCACCTAGTGGTCATACAATCCCCATAGCAGCGAGGTATATACATAACCTCTGCGATTGTGTGATGCCAGTGTAAGCTTCGGAACACTTGAACACCACGGTGACCTAGGAAGAAGCAGGTAAGGGCATACAAGCCAAGCTCGATTTTCTTTATGGTATCTCATGTACGACCGTCCCTGCACATAGTAGGCGGTGTCAAAAAGCCTGCCTGGCAGCCTGGGCCTGCATGCACAACCGGAGTTTGAAACTTAATAATCGAAGAAGCTGTTGGACGGATCCTGTTGGGTGGTGTTCACCGACTACAACTCGCGGAGTCCAGCAAATTTGGCTTTCGAGGCCTAGATTCAAATGGTGAGCTGGCAGTGGAGTAAAGGGAGCGGCGGGGAAGTTGAGGTCATTACTGATTGCACTCGTTTCTCTTTAACCACGTTCTAGTGTCACACGAAGACAGTGATATCGGCAAGGAAACCACAACGAAGGACGGACGAAGAAGGCAGGCCGAGATAGGCCGAGATAGGCAAGTAAAGCGCCCGAGTGACTTATGGTCAGCGTGAAGGTCGATACTAACGTTGATACGTGCAGTGGGCAGCCAGGTTGTGATCACGAGAGTTGGTCTATACTTAGTGCGGCGAAGTAATAAGTTGGCGGAAGTACGACTGCCTCGAGGCCAGGAATGACGGACATTGCAAGTTCAGAGGCGGAGCATTTAGATTTGGGGAGCCTCGAGGCTAGCGGACGCAACGGGCACGGTGCCATTAATACCCAGCAGCAGCTACAATTGATTCAAGGACAACCACTGCCTCATTACAACCGTCTGGACGAGTCTACGCCACTTGTGCCGCCACCAAGATCACCTCTTCGACCGGGTCATAATTCTGTAGTCGAAGAAGCTAGACGATCAAGAGAGCGAGAAGCTTTAGATCTAGAATCAGCACTTCAATCACTGGAACCAACCATTGGATTAACCATCGAATCGTCACATCCAGCCACGATCGCAGCGCCTCCCAGTGCCACGAGCCAACTGCCAAACATGTTGCCAATGCTCCAATTAGCGCCAGAGTCAGAGATGGTCCCCGTCCTCCGTACTCATAGCTTTTCATCTCTTTCACAACTTCTAGAGGCTCTCGGTTCCACACCCGATCTCCAATCCGTTCTTGGAGTTGTTGACGAATTTGAAGACGAATTCGATAGAGAAAGGGAAACAGAGCACCTCGTTAGTGAAACCCTCCCTACTGCCCTCCACACCAGCCATACCGGACCCGTCGCTGCTTATACCGATTTTGTCGGTGCTGATACAGCCGATATCACTAAGGCCGGCCATACTCCTACCATGGAATCGACTCATACACTTATACCATCTACCCGTTTCCCTAAAGACAAGGAACTCCCCCTCCCTCCTTCCACCCTGCCCCTCTCCCTACCAATGAAATCAAGACCACGAACTGACAACCGTCTTGGGCTATCAGAAGATCGGGGAGTGACGACAAGTCAACAACGCTCAGAGGAAGATCTGACTACAGCGTCATCTTCCCTCCCTACACCTGCACCAGCCCTCACGAAACGCCGACATGCTTTGCTCGAGCTTCTTACCTCTGAACGTGCCTATGCAAGCGATTTGGCACTCCTCAGGGATGTGTATATGAGGTTGGCGTCTGGTGAGTCCTTTTACTTTTTAACCTCTTTAAAACTATTCAAACCCATCTTTCATTCCAGGTTATCCTCCCTCATTCGGTTTCTCATGTACTAAACGCCCGGTCTCGGGTTCGGAAATTTCGAATCCTGGATCCAACGCATCTAGCTCAAGTTCCGAATCCACCAAATCTAGCTCCGGCACATGCTCATCCTTGTCCTCACGCACAGTCAGCACCGTCTCCACATCCGACATATCCATCTCAGGGCTATGTCCACCGGTGATCCAGCTCAACGTGCCTTCTATCCAATTGAATGCGCCTACATTCGCGCAAATAGGTCTTTCAATGACACTCTGTACGTCATTCAACCTACTTACGCTGTTTTTGTAGTTCCTCCGCCCAATTCCAAGGCTCCCACACAACTTTCACGCCCGACGTGCGAGCCCCCACTGTCTGTCGCCGACACACGCATCATCTTCCGCAACATATCCGAACTTGCTGTTCTATCTGACATGCTCGTCTCAAAGCTCGAGACAGTGATCGAAGAAGGAGGCAAGGGTATGGGTGAGGTTTTCCTAGAAATGGTGAGTCTGTCCTTCTCGATGTTTGACGTGATTTCACACTGATGCTCAACGTTTCACCAGGTACCGCTCCTCGCGCCCCCATACACGACCTACATCACTGCACACCCTCGCGCGCTCGCACATCTCGACGTCCTCAGCTCGCCGCCGCAGCTCACGCCCCAATTCTCCCGATGGCTTAAAGAAAGCAAAGACCTAGTCGAGGCGCATACACATGCGTGGGACCTGCCGAGTTTGCTCATCAAGCCGGTTCAGAGATTACTGAAGTACGGGTTGTTACTGGGCGCTGTGATAAGTGCTACTCCAGAGCCTCTCGTTGTAGTAGCTTCAGAGAGCATAGGCGAGGCTTTTGGGAAATTGAAGGAGGGAAATGAAGGGCTGGATAAACTGAGAGAGGCGAAGCAGAAAGTGGAAGAAGTAGCTCGCGCTGTGAACGAGGGGCGAAGGCGTGTTGAAGTTGTTAGAGAGGTCCTCGGCTCTGGACATACGAAAGACGGCCCTGGAGCAGGCAGTGTAGGATCCATTGGCATCCCTAAGGTGGGCGTTGTAAACGCCTCCGTCTCGCGTATGCGTTCTCTCCGCACTCCAAAGCCTCTTGCTTCATCCTCCAAGTTACCCTCGAAACAGAAAGGCTTTATCCACGCTGGAGAAATAGAGCCCGACCCTGAAAACGCCGAGGCAGCCCTCCTCGCAGCTCTCGAAAGCAGGCTCAAGTCGCATATCACTATCCTCTCCCATCTCGCTCGTGATGCACTAGGCTATGCCCGGACTCTGCATACACTCTTCGGAGCGCTTGTCAAGTGGGGATGGGCGTTTGCAGGCGTTATTGGCGTCACCGTCAGCCCCGAGCTCTCCCCGAACAATTCCACTCCTACTGCCACTCCTTCACCAGATGCCGGAGGCACGGGCCAGAGCGAAGCCTTCGACGCGTTTCTATCGCTCTGTAGCGGTCTAGTCGAACTCACACAAGAACTCGAGCACGAAATCCACGCACACATCCTCCCCTCTCTCCAATCCTTGAAAAACTCATCGGTTGCCCCACTCAAGCTCCTCAGCGCGCTGCACACTCTGCATCCACTACACACGCACCTTCTGCACCTCCCGATCACACGCAAGCACCGCCCGCCAGAGGCGCTGCTACAGGCAAGCCAGAGTTATGTTGCATTGCGGGGGCAGCTTGCGCTGGAGCTACCTGTGTATGTAAAGTTGTTGGAGCGTGGCATTGATGGGGTGATGCTAGACTTAGCCAGAGGGATGGAGGCATTTTGGGCAGTTGTGAGAGAGCGGTGGGGAGAGTTATGGGATGCACTGCGAGTGGAGGGGGAGGGCCTTGGAAGGGATGATGGTTCGGGAGTCTCAAGAGACAATATGGTGCATGTGGACCGACCGGGGGGTGGAGGCGAGACAGTACGTGTTTGGCGCGAGCGTTGGGGTGATGTGTTGGGCGTGCTTGGGACGTTGGCGGTTGTCAATCCGCCTAGGAAGATCGAGCGGTTGCGTCCTGTGATTCCACAGTACCAAGCAACGCAGCATGCGCAACATCGTGCTTCACCACAGCAAGGTGCCAAAACCGCCAACCTTGCTAACGCGCTTAGCGCTCTCGAGCCGCAGGCATCACCGACACGTCAAAGACAGCATCAGCATCAGGGTTCGTACGATGCGCGATATGCGGCCAGGGAGTCATATGAGGCCCGGCCTAGGAGGGATGAAACAAAGTATGGGCGGGAGAGGGAGTATGATGCACGCCATTCGGGATCATACGACACAGTCCACCGAGTACATGACCCACGCAGTTTACAGAATTCCTACGATCCTCGCAACTCGCAAAATTCTTACGACTTTCGCAGTTCTCAGAGCTCTGACCATCGCAGCTCACAATCCTCGTCTTCCTCGTTTAACCCAGTGTCACGCACGTCCCATGCCCACTCCAACTCTTACGACATTACTGGTCGACGGCGCAGTGGGAGCACAAATAACATCCCCACCGGTCCTATTATACGCAAACCCTCCGATGAGTCACTGCGTTCTGGCAAATCTGGGAAGTCAGGCAAGTCACTTAGGAATAGTCCTGGAACTGGAACTGGGAGAGGGATCGAGGATGTACCACCTATGCCTTCTGCTCTACAGCCGCCATCACAGTCTCGCAGTAGCGTCTCTCCACCACGCCTCAAGCCCGCACGAATGAAGAGTCTGCCTGGACCTATACTCAACAACATACCCTTTGGACTCGACCCCCCACCAAGCCCGTCATCGTTCGCCACATTCGACGAGGAGCAGGAAGACAACGACAGAGACCGGGGACGTGGCTCGCAGAGACGACCGAGCTTAAAGAGTAAGTTCACAGACACATTCCGACCGTCACAGCACAGAAGGCGGTCGAGTTCTGTCAAGAGCCTCGGAGCTCCGAGCTCACTGGCACCAAGTTATCATACCGCAGATAGCGTGCTGCCTGCATACCAAATGCCAACCACGCCTACCCGAACTAGCTCACCGCATACCCCCACTCGACGCACCACCGACTTGCAAGGGCTGCGTGCGCTCTACCAGTGTGCTGCCATACATATGTGTATTCCACCTGCTGGAGTGTCGTATCGTGGTCTACCGTTCTTCGAGTTGCGATCTGGTGACACGTTTGATGTGCTCAGGGAGTATGGACATCCAAGCACACATCCGGATTTACCGTTATATGTGGATGATGGGGAGGATTGTTTGTTGTTGGTTCGGGAGCTTGCTGATGCCGAGGGTGGCAGGGACGCGAAATTTAGGGGAGAGGTGGGCTGGGCGTTGGCGAGTTTTTTGGTGCCCTTGGATTAAGTTTCTCTGGGTGTTGGGACTTGGCGGACGGTCGCTTTTCTCCGGTGATTGTTTTCGGTTGTACTTTCTGTTCACACATTTTTACCCACTTCATCTGCATCCATCTTATGTAGTAGTACATCCGCATGCGCATCAACGAGTCTTTACTGTTCTTTCTTTCTTCCCCCGCCGCATCTCTTTAGCATACACATACATACTTGTATTGGGTTTTCTGTAGATGTTACACACATGATTAATCGCGAGGAGGACAACTCCAAGTGCCTACCCAAAGGTGCATTGCCACTTGATGTCGTTGGACAGCCGTCTGTCAAATTGCCTCTGTGCTCTCCAAGCAGTTCCAGCATGATCATTGCAGGACTCGCAGTCTCGATCCACCCCAGTGTCACTTACGACGACATTTGTGACGGTGAGCAACACGAATTTACAGCTCTTTGCATAAAGGATGGCAGTGGCGTGAAAATTTCGTTCAATTAGGAAATGTGGGACTTAGTGGAATTTTGCTCCTGTAGCCTTGTAGTACCCTTATTATCATCCTCGAAACATGGGATTTCGCAAGATCAGCCGTGACGTGAAGCTCGCAGCAATTCGACTCCATGAACGGAACCTTCTGAGCCTTCCGGACATCTTAGATTCCTGCGGATTTTCCGAACGCACTTGGTTTCGGATTTTGAGGCTCTGGTGTGAAACTGGCGATGTCGTGAACCGTCAGCCTAGCGCAGTAATGCGTGGTCGTCTGCGTGCTCTCTGTTGAGTCGCAATATGAATCACGAGCCGTCGGAGTTAGGTTGGAATACCAACCATGGACGACGCATATATATACCACTTACTTATTGTTCCCCGCTTTCCCTCAGTCCGTTCTATCTGACTGAGGGTAAGTCTCTAGTTATAATCACGCCGTACCTACATACTGACATATCACTCGTAGAGACTGATACTCTCTAGGTACTTGTTAATCTAGTCCGTTCTATCTATCTACTGGACTATCTCCTGGATCTCACATCCGCGTACGTTTGAAACTCTCTATGTTTACACATGATTCCCGGCCATGTTTTCAAAATCTGAGTCACGGGTCATGATCTATGCCCTCTTCCCCCGATATATCATCCTTCACTTTGTTGATTACTAAGCAGACCTTATCCTAATGAGCCAGTCAAAATGCTAAGTATTCTCAGAATCAAAATCCTGAATGCTCAATGATATATCAAAAAATTTCGACCATAGGTATCTCAAAAAATCTGATTTGTAAGTAGCTTACATAATCCAAAAATGCCGAATTGCCCTTTTTGGATATAAGGCCCCGTGCGGATAGTTTGCCATGACCATTAAATCCTAGATAATTCCTCAAATAATGGTGTGCCCCTATTTTTGTATTACATAAGCATAGGAAGTTGTCTGTTGGACATGTCTTAATACCATATCCAACTCCCCATGACTCTCCATGACATTTAACATATGTTCTCCCATGTAAAACTCCCGATTTCTCAAAAAAATGAACTATGTGGTAGTTATCTCAATGATATATCTCCAGATCCCCTCGACCAAAGATGAAAAGTGTCCGTTCAGGATACCCAAAAAACATACCAAAAGCACGGAATGCCCAAATGAGATACTACTGGTGTTCCCCCATGTAAAACTGTCATTTTTGCTTCAAATCAGTAGATTTGTTGACTATGTGGCAATTATCTCAATGATATATCTCTGGATCCTTTCGACCAAAGATGAAAAATGACCATTCAGGATACCCATAAAACATACCAAAAGCACGGGATGCCCAAATGAGATATAACTGGTGTTCCCCCATGTAAAACTGTCATTTTTGCTTCAAATCAGTAGATTTGTTGACTATGTGGCAATTTATATGGTCAAAACAGAAATAGGTTTCAAACTTGTGAAAAAATATCTTTTGGTGGGCTGGTACATATCATGGAGGGTACTTCTGGGATGGATATGAGCCAACAATTAAGAAAAACGGCGGTTCGGTTGTGGAGATATGTCCAAAATACTGATATTTGAGCCCACCTCCCATATCACATGAATGCCGACCTCCGGAAGGTCTGGGACCATTCCCAATCGATTCAGAGGCCTCATATACCTTAGGAGAGATGTTTCCAGTATCGGTATTGAGGCGGAATACCGGGATAGTGACATACAGGAGGTCAGGAGGAGGGGGAGGACCCTGTATATCTCAGGAACACGATTTTTCCAGGCAATTCTGGCATGACCATCGTGTTCAGAGGGCTCAATAACCCCCAGGAAAAATGCTTCTGAAGGACAGGCTAGTCATATGAAGTCTAGAAAAATCGATCTTTGGGTGGGGGAGCATGGCCTTGGTGGCCAACTTTGGAACATGATTTTTAGAGGGAAATCCGGCTCGACCAACGTCTTCAGATGGTCAAATAACCTCAAGAACGAGTCCTAGCTAAAGCCAAGCAAGCCATATGAAGGCTGAAAAAATCGATCTTTGGGTGGGGGAAGGATGACAGGGGCAGCCAACTTTGGAACATGATTTTTAGAGGGAAATCTGGCTCGACCAACGTGTTTGTATGGTCCAATAACCTCTAGAACGAGTCCTAGCTAAAGCCAAGCAAGCCATATGAAGGCTGAAAAAATCGATCTTTGGGTGGGGGAGCATGGCCTGGGTGGACAACTTTGGAACATGATTTTTAGAGAGAAATCCGGCTCGACCAACGTCTTCATATGGTCAAATAACCTCAAGAATGAGTCTTGTCTAAAGCCAAGCAAGCCATATGAAGGCTGAAAAAATCGATCTTTGGGCGGGGGAGCATGACAGGGGTTGCAGTCAACTTTGGAACATGATTTTTAGAGGGAAATCTGGCATGACCAACATGTTTGTATGGTCCAATAACCTCTAGAATGAGTCCTACCTAAAGACAAGCAAGTCATATGAAGGCTGTAAAAAGCAATGTGTGGGGGGGCCAGCATGGCCGGGGTCGTCAACTTCAGAATATGATTTCTTCGTGCAAATCTGGCATGACCATGGTCTTTGTATTGCTCAATAACCTCAAAATCAAGTCCTACCTTATTCTCCCCAAGTCATATGAAGGCTGTAAAAATCGATCTTAGGAGAATGTGGTGGTGGTACTGCTTACATAAGCAAGAATGCGGTCCTCTCAGAGGGGGCCTGCTCACCACTCTATGCCACTGTGATGCACCAGCGAATACATCTTGCTGATTTGTTGCCAAGGTTCGGAGTGTTAGATCCTGCCTGCATTTGCCTTATAAAATGCGAAATTTGCGAATTGGGGAGGTGTTGTGCAGAAATGCACAGCAGGGACCAATCTGTGGCGCTCTGGAACCATATCACGCTCAACCATCCTTTCAGAATCTCGAAATAAAGTCTCGCATCAAGCCCAGCAGGTCATTTGGCTTCTTCCCTCTATGGGGGACTTCACACACATATGTTGTCCGAGTCCTTGGATTTGATTGACTTTTGCTTCTTGGCTGGTATAGGCTTGCATGAGTTGGGCTGGGGCGCATTAGTGATGTTCCGGCATGGCTTGGCCCAAAAGCCACAGCTTTGGCCTGGCTTCAGACAGCTCTGGCCTGCAAACAACCAAAGCCACAAATGACAGCTGGCTTTGGCCTGAACCGCAGCTCAAGTAGACGATTCTGACAAGACTCACCTGCCAGTGTGTGCCTCAGAATGGAGTCACAGTGATTGATAGCGGCGGTGAAATGGTTGGCGGCTTCTTCGTGACATGCACCACCCAAGACCACCTCTATCAGAGATGAATTCCCCATGAAGGGGAGGAGCCCTTAGATTTGACCGACTTTCGCTTCTTGGTTGGCTTTGCCTTTATAAATGTCTCACTCACTTCATCACTCCATCACAATTTGACCAATTTGTTGGAATGGGAATGAGGGCCGAATGACACCTTCAGCCCGAGATGATGAGCTGGTTGCTCGTTGTTTTGCATGCAAATACTGGAGCTCCAACTTTGAGACGAAAATAAGTTGAAGGGAATGACATCAAAGCAGGAGGTCACCTCTAATTCCATGATATGCATGTCATCCGATGAAGACTTGTTACCATGCCCATCCACCGAGATTTGTGGTTTTAACACCTGTAGGTTTACTACACCATTTGCCCATAGGCTTTCTGAGATCGGAAATTGGTACAAGTGAGTGGGGATACATATGAAAGGCATCAGTGTTGGTGAGGAAATAGGAATGTGAACTCTGTGGAGTCACAAGGATATAGACCTCGAGAGGCGAGCTAGTGAATCTAAAGCGAAAATCCTGGTCGCCTCTATCAGAGATGAATCCCACATGAAGGGGGGAAACCAGGACCTTGCTACCCAAATCGCCACCAGAGCCAACAAGACAGTGAAAAGGTAAAAAAAAAGCGAAATTCCTGGCCACCTCTATCAGAGCTGTTTCCCCCTTGAAGGGGAGGAACCAAGATCTTGCTACCCAAACTACCCCTCAGAGCGAAAATCTTGGCCACCTCTATCAGAGCCCATGAAGGGGAAAAGCCCTTAGATTTGACTGACTTTCGCTTCTTGGCTGGCAAAACCTGGACCTTCCCACCTAAATAGCCCTCAGAGCGAAAATCCTGGTTACCTCTATCAGAGATGAATCCCCTATGAAGGGGAGGAGTCCTCAGATTTGACCGACTTTCGCTTCTTGGCTGGCAAAACCATGTGGGCCAACATGTGGCCGACTGTCATATGAATAAGTTGCCCTCGGGCAATGGATGGTACAATGGAACATGATTGTATCTCTGACGGAACCATGGGAAGAAAGTTAATGTTCAAGGATATTCAATTCACTGGTTGGGTTATAAAGCGGTGTCCGTGCTTACCTCTATCAATCTGCTGCCCAATCGTGTTGGGGCTGTTCATCAGCATCAGGTAGTTGCTACAGCTGAGCTTGATATGATTAGCAACCCATCCTGATTGTTTTCCATTGCGGAATATTTCTGGTAGTTGCTACAGCTGAGCTTGATATGATTGGCAACCCATCCTGATTGTTTTCCATTGCAGAATATTTCTGGTAGTCGCTACAGCTGAGCTTTATATGATTGGCAACCCATCCTGATTGTTTTCCATTGCGGAATATTTCTGGTATCGGTATTTTTGTGCAAGGTTGGACGCCAAACTTGAACCATGCACATCAACGTCAGCAAGTTAGTTTCTCCATGGGGAATGTCACACACACAAGAGTTGTCCGAGTGCTTAGATTTGACTGACTTTTGCTTCTTGGCTGGTATTGGCTTGCATGAGTCGGCTAGTGATGTTCTGGCATGGCTTGGCCCCAAAGTCATAGCTTTCGCCTGGCTTCAGATGGCTCTGGTGTGCAAAAAATCACAGCCAGGGATTCATCTCTGATAGAGGTGGCCTTGGTGGCCACCCAGATAGCCCTCAGAGCGAAAATCCCGGTCGCCTCTATCAGAGATGAATCCTGCATGAAGGGGGGAAACCAGGACCTTGCTACCCAAATCGCCCCAGAGCCAACAAGACAGTGAAAAGGTAAAAAAAAAAAAGCGAAAATCCTGGCCACCTCTATCAGAGCTGTTTCCCCCTTGAAGGGGAGGAACCAAGATCTTGCTACCCAAATACCCCTCAGAGCGAAAATCTTGGCCACCTCTGTCAGAGCCCATGAAGGGGAAAAGCCCTTAGATTTGACTGACTTTCGCTTCTTGGCTGGCAAAACCTGGACCTTCCCACCCAAATAGCCCTTAGAGCGAACTTGGGGGCCGTCCATCAGCATCAGGTAGTCACTACAGCTGATCTTGATAGAATATTTCTGGTATCGGTAATTTTGTGTAAGGTTGGATGCCAAAACTTGAACCATGCGCATCAACCCCAGCAAGTTAGTCCCTCCATGGGTGATTTCACACACATAACAAGCATAGAATCCGATGAAGACTTGTTACTACGCCCGTCCACCGAGATTTATGATTTTAACACCTATAGGTTTACTACACCATTTGCCCACAGGCTTTCTGAGATCGGAAATTGGTTTGAGTGAATGGGGATAGACATGAAAGACATTGGTGTGGGTGAGGAAATAGGAATGTGAACTCTGGGGAGTCACAAGGACATCGACCTCGAGAGGCAAGCTAGTAGTATCATCCTTGAGGGATGCTACTGAGGCAAATCTCTTCAAGTATGAGGAGGATCAGGGACTAGCTAGAAGCCGAAGATATGCGAAGGCGTGCAAAAATTGTGATGGGGTCATGAAGAAGGAGGCTCAAGAAGTCAAAGCCAGAAAAGGAGGATCACAACATTCTTCCGAGTCGTTTGGGTGAAGGGATGGTAGATGAACGCTTGAAAAAGGGTCGTACTCACCAGATTAGGTGTGTATCAATTCGTCCCATGCCTCACTTTCTATCATTAACATTTTGCTAAGCCTTGGGGAAGAATCACCGGACCAAGAAGAACAGACAATGTACAGTCATTACTGGGATTCGGACTATCCTGCAACTATCTTCATTTTCAAATATACTTCGTTGGGTAGGTCATGGTATTTTCTATGTGTCCCCACTCATGCCAACCCCCGACCCCGCCTGATACAACCCTCAACCCAAGCGACTTTTTCTTGACCTTGCTTGCATCATTGCAACAACATCAATGACATTGTAATCACATTGTGGCAAGGGACACTTACAAAGGCAAAGCCAGCCAAGAAACAAAAGTCAGTCAAATCTAAGATTTGGACAACCTTTCTGTGTGAGAAGGCAAGGTAAGCATACCTACTTTTATCATGGGCCAACATGTGGCCGACTTTCATATGAATGAGTTGCTCTTGAGCAATGGACGGATAGACTGCATGAACCTGACAATGAATCAGACGCTGATATGCCATAATGCTCTGATTATCTGTACCCTATGCCAAGCAACAGCCACATCGCTCCACAGAGCACCAATATGATCGTCATTACTGACCATCAGCCCTCAGCCACATGCAGCCCTCAGCCCATGGAAACCCTTTGCCAAATTCAATCCCCATCCAATCATGCCCTGGGCCCAATACAACCTCAAACCAGGCGGCTAAGCATCAGTTACTAACCCAATGCGAAACCCTCAGCCCAATCCAACCCTCAGCCCAGTGAAGCCCTCTATCCAATCCAACCCTCAGCCCAGCAAAGCCCTCTACCCAATCCGACCCTCTGCCCAGTGTAACCCTCTGCCCAATCCAGCCCTCAACCCAGGCGGCTATTTATTGACCTTGTTTGCACCATTCCAACAGCATCGGTCAAATCCTGCAAAGCCAGCCAAGAAGCGAAAGGCAGTCAAGTCTAAAACTCAGACAGCCTTTGTTCACACACAAAGGTTGTCCCAGTCTTAGATTTGACTGACTTTTGTTTCTTGGCTGGCTTTGCCTTCGTAAATGTCCCCCTTTGTAAGGTCATTATGATTTGACCGAAAAACTCCAACAGAGTCTACATTAGCAAACCATAACTGACCTAAATTGAATCATCATTTCTCAAGTTCATCTTTCTGTCTTTCACTGTCACTGCCCCTCCCCTAGCTTTGATGAGTCGTCTCTGTCCCTGAAATATAAAGACAAATAACCTTGGGTTAGCCTGAATCAAAGTCGTCATTATACATGTACATTGTTAGTTTGTCTTGTTCAGGTACTTCTTCCCCAAGGCTGAATCGACTGGTAATGATAGAAAGTGACTCCATAGCCTATTGAAATGAAATACACCCAATGTGATGATCACGAACCTTGCCTTTGCACACACAAAGGATGTCCGAGTCTGTAGACTTGTCCGACTTTTGCTTCTTTTTACCTTATAGCCCTCAGTAATATGTCCCTCACATGTGCATATATTTCTGATGATACTTATGGGAGGCATGGCAAGTACAAACTTCGACCATTGTCTATACCCTAATCTACAGCCACTACATGTTCTCCTTCCAAAGATTGTCCTATGTGCATGGGAAACGGCTGGAGCTTGCGAGAACGTGGGGGAGGGGGGATTCTCTGATTTCTCTTGGTCATCGTCATTTTCTTGCGAATCTCCTGACGCTTTTGTCTCTCGGTCTTCCTTCTCAGATTACCATCGGTGTCAAAGGGTTGTGAGTCCATCAGGTCAGCTGCAAATATGCGCTTTCCCTTGATCAACTTCATTGTACGACGTGCTCTGGTGACCCTCTGCTGACGGTCGCCTCCCCTTCCGATGCAGTCGATCCTGTAAAATGTGGGGTTTGTGATAAACACGATGGCATCATTCTTTTGTGTCCACACTCTTGACCCACTGGCTGGGAGACAATGAACCTCCGAAAACACCTCGGATAATCCTTGCTTCAACGATGCTTGCTGATCCTCGTCCATAGTCTGCATAGTCCTGTGAAATTCTGCAATGTATCCATCTCCCTCCCATAGCGTGGACCACTGAGTGTTGTCCTTGTAGGACGCATCGGGATCAGGGAAGAATAGAGTGGACCTGTCACCAAAGCCTCTGGACCTGGGACCCATCCGACCGGCCGTGACTCCAGTGTGGTCTTGCAGTCCGGAATTGCAGGCTTCAAATGCGACAGCAGAAAGGATGTCATCGACACTCGTTATGGTCCAGCACTTCATCGCCTCCTGCAGTGAGCTTGGGTGGGGTGTGATGCCTTTCAAGACTTCAGTTGTCAGCATGAGCCATATGTGTCTGGTGAACATGATGAACAATCGTCCGACGGACAGGTCCATGTTGAACAACCTGGAAGACCAAGACCATGGTCTCATGATCATGGCAGGAGAGTTTGCTACGGCTGACTTGAGTCGAGTCCACGTCGGCGTCCGACCGAGGGGATAGTCTTCAACCTCTGATTCAGCCATTGCCTGTGGATTTTTTCGTCCTACTGCTCTATCTCTTTGAGCCTTTGCGTTTACGCCCATGAGAGCCAGCACATTCACATCATCGACTTGCTGCACTTCATCCAAGCATGTCTCGCTGGCGAGATCGAATTCCTGCAAGAAGAACATTCCCGCTGTCTCTAGCACATTTCTGTACTCGAGGAGAGCAAGGGACTCGCGGACATGGAAGTCATAGATGATGGGGGTGGATGTCGTTGAACGAAGCATGTGGTTCAGCAGGCCGGTGAGGATGCCGAGGTTTGGTGGATTCTTTCTGACGATGGCTATCTGGGTCCTCTGAAGCTCCCGAACCCTTCTTCTAATAAGCTCGAACCAGACCTTCGATGGTATCCACAGCACTGGATCAGATCGCAGATATTCTGTGGCCTGCAAGGTGATCACCGCACGAGTGGTTTTAGTTTGTATATCAGTGATTCATAGAGCCAGGACCACTGACCTTGGTTTCGATATTCTCCAGCATTATTCTGGCTGCTTGTCCACTCACTCTGTACTCGTCCCTGACCCCATATGTTTTCTCCTTGCAACCATCGATGACCTTGACCATTTCGAAGCATTCAGCCATGTATGGTGGGGAAAGCTTGTATGCATCGCTGTCGGAAGCGAAGCTCACGCGGTTGTTGTTCGTCCGGATGGATTCATAGTAGAGGTTGTAGGTGCTTCGGAATGCAATGTGCGTCTGCTGGGCCCTCTCCTGCTGCATCTCGGCCTGCAGTGCACCGTATCTCGAGAGTGTGTTGTGATGATGCATCTCGCCTCTCTTGTACCCCCCTGCACCAAATGATGCTTCAAGTGCGTCCAATCTCCATACCCCCACGACGGGTACATCTGGTGAGCGTGGTGTGAATGAGATCCCGACGTCCACAAGAAGTTCTCCATGTTGCCTGTTCATCATGTATGGCCAGTCGAGGTCAGACAGGTTTCGACGAAGGGCCTCTTCTGGTCCTGAGAAACGTCCTCTCTGACCATCCTTCGTGAGCAGCTTTATGCCCTTTCCTTCCAGGATGAAGAACAACGACCCAAACATACTCAGCTCAGCCTCTCCATCGCGAATTCGATCCTGCATGCGTTCCTGTACATCCTTGAAGTCATCATCAGATAGGGGAATTGATTTGGGCGGTCCCCATCCCCCTCTACGTCCTCCCGCTCCATTAGCCTTGTATCGCGCCTCCTCCAATGTGTGCTTGAGGTAAGGGGCCCAGCTCGCATCCGTGCAATCTCCTATGGAAGGCAGCAACACCCTATCCCAGAAGATGTCCAAGACCTCCTGGGGAATGAGTGTGATTCTCCGGCCGTTCACTGGGTGTCGGTGAATCATTCTTGGAAATGCGATATAAAGATTCAGCGTTGAGGAAGCAGATGATATCCGCCCAATGCAAGCATGAGGGATTGCAGACATGGGGAAGCGTTTGGACAGCCATTCGGTCCTGCCCCCGGGCACATGTGCATCGGCCTCTGACTGTGGAATTGTGATGTCGACATATGTATGGTTATGCTTGAATATCCCAGGTTTCACTTGAAATGGTGGAGTCACATAAATGCCGACGGATCCTCTGCACCGGAATGTCTTCGTGGTCCAGATGATGCTGTCTATGTCCACCGAGATCTCTATCTCATCTTCCGAAAATTGGATTGCATCTTTTTCGAGATCAATATACAACGCAGGTCCATCTCCATACCGATGACTAGAGCGGCCACGAACAAAAGCATTGTGTCCAAACCTACACTCATCATGCAGTGGAGGGTCATACTGCGCAGAATCTATGATTTCAGATGCAGACACTATTTCCACGTCTGATACCCGCGTGCAGCGTACATCCTGGTCAGACCCTTGCCGGTCCAGGGTGTATTCTCCTGTGACGCGATCTGGCACTTGATTGGATGCATCGTAGCAGTCGTTTGTACCAATCGGCATGATGTGTGCCATGGTAGCTATGGGGTCGCATTGATAGAATATGTGGAACGAGCTAGGGGAAATCCTATAACCGTGATCGACCCAGTCCACCCAAGCCGTGGACAGCTGCATGCCTCCATCCTGGAATGTCATTGTAGGATTGACGTCCCTCGGAGGTCTCAGCATCTCTATTGTAGGCCCACCCTCATAATCATCGAAGGTCCTATCGTCTTGAAGCCATCTTCTACCTGAATATGCCACTAGTGGTACTGGAGCGATGGGTCGAGGAAATCGTTTGTTGCTTCCCAGATTCCAGTTTGACACTCGCTTACGAGTTGCTGAGGCCGATTTGGAGCGTTGAGAATCAACTTGACCATCTGTTTCAGCTGACGGCTCTGATTCTATTTGAAGATGAGTCCCAACAGCACGAGCAGGAATTGCATTGCGGTTGCGGGATCCAGCCAGTTCTTTGTTCGCTTTGAAAAGTTGGGCTAGTTTCGCCTTTCTTTCTGCGGGTAGGACTGTTCCGAAGGTATCTTGATCTTCGCCATAATCATTTTCTGCATCGTCACGATCAACTGGAGTGTCACCAGGATTCCCGCCGTGGTGCAAGTGGCTGCTTCCTTCCTGGTTGAGGATGGGAGATTGGCATGCTGAGCATGTAGCGCTGATGATCGTCAATTTACGCAAGAGCTCGAGGCATTCGGCCTGATGCCGCCCATTCTGAATGGAATTGATGATCTCCTCGTCTGGCAAATCGTCTTCTAGCCAATCATCCGGTCGGTTGTCGAGGAGCATGAGGTAATCACTACAACTCATCTTGATACGTCCAGCTACCACGCGCAACATCTCTATGCGGAGCTTGTGACCACATTGCACTTGAAACAGTGGTAGGTGACCATGCTCGTCCATTCCTGAGATAAGGCTTTGCTCCAGCACGGAGCATGCGATGGGACCACAGTCCACTCCATTTTGGGTCCAATCTCTAGTTTGTACTGTCACGATATCGACGTCCCCTGGACTCCAGCCATGAAGCGATGCAATTCTCCTCCAATACTGTGGCCCACCCCAGTCATTCCAGTCGTGTGGATCAACTCCATCTATATGCATAGCACTGGCTGAGATATGGCGACCCAGTACATGTGCTGTAAGTCTTTGAAAGTCGAAGATGACGGCGAAGAAATGATCCGAATGGTGTACCATGAATGCGACAGGGACTATAGGACATTCACCCTTGCTAGGAACAAAATGGTTCGTCCTGAAGAGCTCCGCCTCTTCCTCGGAAATGTTGATCGCCTTTGCTACATACAGGTCCACATATCTCATGCGCGATCTGTTCACGGCCTCATACCAGAAATGCGACAGGTGAAAATTTGCCACAGTCGCCTCAAGCCATTCATTAGGCCCAAGGGTTCTCCAGTCATCCCAGGCAGACCTCCAAACAATCGGTCGGGCCATCGCACGACCTGCCAACCGAGGAGATTAGTGGTTTTTGTTGCATCACGAGATATTAACTCACCAGCGATTTCATTGGATGTTGGTTCAGCTATTATATGTGGAATGGCTTCAGGCGATGATGACCGGGATGCGTGTGGAGGAGGAGGTGACGGCCTGTATTCATCATTCGGTACTCCTCTCGATGATTGTGCTGTACTTCCTAATCATGGAACCAGGGGGTTAATACAAATGTATGCTTTAGCGAAGATCACTGCTGGTGCTCACTGTGTGATTCTGCAATACATTCCTCATCCTCGTCTTCCGATTCAGGATCACTGGAAGGCAATTGATCGAGGTTCTTCTTGAGGGAGGCTGAATCTGACAATCGTAAATTTGATGTTGGTTTGTATCAGTGCTGATCAAGGATAAAATTCCGCTACTGACCTGCCACTCGTGCACATCTGACGGGCCTGTTGGGACGTCCCCGACGTCGTTTACTACCACCAGCCTGTCGATTATTGAGTTCCCCGCGCTCCCGGCCTGTGGCCTCTTCATCATCATTCAATCTACCTCCTCTCAGTGGACTGCTCACTACCACTGCTCTTCCGTCTTGTGTGTGTTGCTGGATCGGATTACTAGTAGCACGGATGATATACTTGACGCCATTTGTGGGCAGCTCCTGTGTCATTGATTCTGCATCCTTTGACACTTTTGTCTTGTTTTTACTGCCTACTCAACGCTGTAAGCATAAAAATAGGGGTAGACTCCCAGGACTCACCATGCGTCATGACTTTCTTTGTTGGCCTTCCACGAGGTCGTCGTGGCTGATTCACAGTGCGACAACTCCGTTGTGCAGTGGTTCTCTGTCCTTGTCTCACCGTCGACTGTACACCAGTATCTAGATATGTATTCCACCTATCATCCGCTGTGATCTCTACAGCCCGTGATTGCTGTGGATTCCAATCCAGAATCCCACATTCCATGATTTGCTGCAGCATGTGTAATGTGTCATCCTCTTCCTGATCAGTGCCTGTCTGTTGATGGGGCACCACATTTGCTTGGTGTTTTGCATTGTCAGCCACTGGGCTTGTGGTCGCACGTATCATCTTTTTTGCACCCGAAGTCTGGGTGATTTCGAGTGATGATGCTTCGTTTGATATGGTGGCGACCTCAGGGTTTTGATTGCTGCCTGTAGAACACATCATGCCATGAACATAGGGGTCAATGACATGTACTCACGACGCTGCACCACTCGCTTTCTCGGCCTGCCTCTCTGTCGCTTAGTTCTTTCAACATCAACGTTCCCTACATCAACAATCCTGCAGTTTTCTATTGCTGCTGACAATCCTCCAATGTTGTCCTCAGTTGCATCGTTAGCTGAATGTCCATGGTTCCATAAGATCCTCGATCCCTGCGGGTCCCATTCCAGAATCTTTGATTTGACGATCTCATCCAGTATATCAAATGATTCGTCTTCGTCCATGAGATACTCTGCGCTGCGTTGGTGTGATAGGCTGTCCCTGGCAAAAACACTTATTTGTATATTCGGACTCATCAACATCCCGGAGTCCACGTGTTATATGTAAGACCGGATAGCCTCCGAATATGTTGATGATCTTAACTTTTAACATTTCGGCTGAAATACAAAAATTCTCGACGTGGAAGACACTAGCATGCCATAATGCGGCAACCGGTACCTCACAGCGCCTAGTCCTTGATCCGTCCGTCCGAACCTTATGTTTACGAGATTGAGAGTAGGTCCGATGATGGGAGACTCGATTATATTTTCTTTGCATGCCCTACATTCAAGTTTCTACATCATTTCTGTTGTAACAAGTCCACCGTCATGCCCAGGAGACCCTCTATTATAAGCTTTGGGTCCCATGCAGAGCGCAGGAGGACATTGCCTCCTATGAGCAATGATCACCCACAACTTCGCAAATTGAAGAGATGTACATCTTTGGAATGTAGGTTCCACTGCCCACCTAGTGGTCGTTTCTTGATCGCTCGCTTTCTGCTGGTATACTGATTTCACACTTAGGGGTCTACGATGCTGATGCTGATGACTCCGACGGCGAGACACATGACTGCAGATTAGTTATCAAGGTCGGAGAAGAGTACGATGATGCTTGGTTAATTTGTTCGTGAGGCTGACACCAATCCTTCAGCGTCGCGATCTTTCCGCTGGATTCCCGTGCTGTTCCATTGACAGACGGAAGTCTACCACTGATGTCATACTGGTATGGGATTGTGAAGGAGATCTACTTAAATTCAACCTCACGTACTCAGGTCGGCGCACTTGTACATCAAATTGATGATCCTCACTCATATGGCTTCTCACAGGATGTGTGGCTTGATATACAATGGTATTACAGGCGGGTGGACTTGGAGGACGAAGGTGTTGAGTACGCCTCTTGTATCACAATCGCTGCGACATGTCTCACATGGGTGATAATTCAGCCTTGCACAGTATGTTGGTGACTATGAGCTCCTGCTCAGCAGTCACCAGTCCATAATTGATATGCATTGTGTGGAAAGTATGTACTTTGCGTGGCTTTATGAACTAAATTGTCCCTTGACTCATCTGTATATTTCTGGCAGGTCATGCAACAATTGTCCGGTACAACGAAGAGGATTTAACACAACCTCAAATACCAATGGCGACACTCTACACTCGATGGACGGTTGAAATGCAATTTGTTGGCCATGGAAGACGTACATCCCTTCAGGGAGTTAATATCAAGGTCAGCGAGTTTCATTTCAATATTTCATATCTTGTCTAATCTGTTCTTGACATGGTGCGGTATACAGAACACACAGATATCCACCCATTGCAGTTGCGACATATGCAATCCTGCATTCTCATCGCCTAAGAATGTGCAGCGATTCTGTAGGACATGCAAACGTTGGTTCAACGAGGCGTGTCTCGCAGCCATTGGACAGAAGATGAAGAAAAGAGCCAAGGCTGGCCTGCCGCCCATGTTTGATGGTGTTGAATTCGACGAAGAGTTTCTTGCTATTCTAGCGAGCCCGATTCGACGGGGTGGATTATGTGGAGTCGTTGGAAACGGCATTATTTTGATGAAGGTGAAGGCGCTCATGGAACAGGCAATACGCCTTGGTAGGCTTCCTGATGGATGGAAGGACGGCTTGCAGCAAGTACTAGCGCTGACATCGGTCGATGAAGTCATTCCCCGATACTATTGTCCGGTATGTATCAGGAAGGTGATATAGGACATATTTCTTCTTCTTCCATGCATGTAGTCCATGTCAGTAACACGAATTTAGTTTCCGTATCCTACCCCGTTGTATTCGGTTGGTGTAGAGCTTAAAACACTCCCGACCAAGTAAAGAAATCGCGTCGATCAGCCCCATGCATATGGTCAGACATCTTCCTAAAGTAGGATATATCGATGCCCGGCTGCCCTGCATGTCATATTACTTTAAGTTTGGATGGCACGAACAACAAACAAATGTACTAATGGGTACACACACCGCACCGGTTCCGATTGTATCGGACTGTTGTTTGTGGTTAGAAGGTAGCCTCCCCTGAATATATCGTAATGTAACTCGTGTGGTGGAGTGTATCGGATCATGGGGATGTAGCTTTGCTGATCAAAAAAAATCATTCGTCTCACATTTACGCCCGCCCAAGGACTGCAGTTATAGCCCTCGATGAATCCATCATGCCGTTTTCGTCAATGGACTGCACAGGATATTGGTCGGTTGATGAAGGCCCAAGGGACTATTCAAGATGTCGATGGGGAGTGTTCTCTCAATGTGTCTGGACAGTCACCCAAGGGTTGCCGAATCGCTGCACACTATCGTCTACCGCTTCATGCTCTCAACAAGAAATTTGGGATATACAGGAGGGTCGTAGCACACCTCAATAACTCGACCAAAACACGTGCTACTCACATGCGGAATACATATGCATCGGTCATGGAATATTTGAATGATGTGCGGATCGCCTTTCTGCATGATGCTTCTGCATCCCCAGATGCGGCGCATGGTGACTTTAGATCTCCAGCGATGGATTATTTTCTTTGGCTGGACCACACAGTTGGAGGGTTTCACGCTAAGAGTCGCAAGTCCTTGGAGAAATCCCATGGGATCACCTTCGAAGCCCTGCAAAATGGAATGTGTCAAGACATATTCATATTTCGTACGTGCTTACCTTTTTTTTATATCTACCTTGAAATAATATGTGAGACAGTTGATTGGGTTTCATATCACAACGTGCAATGCAAGGACCACGATGTCTGCGGGGCAGTCCAGGGCTGCGGCGGTGGAGAAGACATTCAGCATTTCCTACATTCAGTCGATGTCCAAATTGACGCACCCAACGCACCAGAGAAACCAAGTACGAGCAATGACATGACTGATCCAACGACGACGGGCAATTCGAGCTCTGAGATGGTGACTGTACGTCTTGCCTTCATACCACAATTACCATTATGGAACTGATGGTAAAAATACATTTCGTCCAGCCGTCCAATCCATTCCCGCCATTTCCACTGCCATTCAATATTGATTGCCGCAAGCTCGCTCTCAGTACTCTGGGTGGTTATGCCCGCCAAATGCTCATCGGTGGTTTTGGACTATGGCTGCCTGGCCATGTAGCGATGCGGTTTCGGGAAATCCAAGGATTGGATCATACCGATTCATTGGAGAATCTTGTTGCGAACGGGCTAATCCTCACAGCACATAGTAACGAGGAGTTCTTTGAGATTTTCGGCATGGCGGAGATGATGACCAGGTGCCGGGACTTGTTGATAGACCGTAGTGGGATGGCAAGATTCTTCGCTGCCGCTGGGAATGCTCTTTACACATCCCGTGGGGGCTCGAGTTGCTCGGTCGAGTATGGGCAGAACATCTCTCTCTCAATAGAGGAGCTGGTTCCACTCGAAGCTGTCAGGTCACCCAGCAGCACCTGTTTACATTGCGGATTACAACCCTACATCGATTCACACGACCGTGCATCTGTATCCCAAGGAGACCACGACATTCCAATGCCAGACCAATACACTCTGGATGCTCCA